ATGCTATCTCTAAATAACAGCTTCACTGTCAGGGGCCATAATTTTGCTCCTGGACCCAGTAACAGCCTCAGGGCATCCCACCTCTTCAAACCATTTCCTGCCCAGGAGCCCAAGTATTTTAAACAAAATCCAACTTCCTAACCTTGACCTCTTGGGATTTTTCCTCATAGAAGCCCCTTATTCTCCTCACAGTCCAAGCTCTCTCAAGGTTTGCTTCTTAGGTCTTAGCTTCATGCTCTCCTAGACCACACTACTCTCAACCTAAGCTTATTCTCTTCACAGTATGCGACCATCTTTACTTAATTGTTTCTTAATATAATTTCCATGATGAAGAAAGTACGTGTGTCAGGAGCTGGGGAGATAGCTCAGTAGAATAAGCATTGGCCTGGCAAGTGCAAGGGCCTGAGTTCAATCCCCGGTTCCGCTATTAAAAAAAAAAAAAAAAGAAAGAAAGAAAGTACGTGTGTCACATATCTTTTCCGGAACCTACATTGGGAGATAATCTTATAAATATGTGAATGAAAATTAAAAATTACCCAGGGGCTAGGGGAAGATGCTGCAATTACAATTTCAAGCAAAGGAACATAAAACCCTGGCTTTAAAACTCCAGTTAATAATCCCTGAAAAGTTGAACCACTGAATTTATCTTGTCTGGGATATGAGCATGAGCTGGGTGGGTAGCACAAGCCTATAATACCAGCACTGGAGGCCAAAGCAGAACTCCACTTGGAGATCAGCTTGGAATGAATAGGGAAATTCTATCTCTTTAAAAAAAAAAAAAAATTAAACTTTTTTTTTTCATTTTTCATTTTTCCCAGAGAATCACAACGCCGGTTCAATTGGATCCTGACTAGATTTATCTTGTTATACTGATTTGTCATTGGGTTGCTGTTGTTGTTCTGGAGATTAAACCCAGGGATCACTGAGCTACAGCTCCAGTCCTTTTGTTTTTAAATTTCAAAGTTAGGCTCTTGCTAAATTGCCCAGGGTAAATTCTAATTTGTAATCCTCCTGTCTCAACCTCTGGAGCAGCTGGGATAACAGGCATATGCCAGCACACTCGGCTATACTGAATCTTTTCTGGGTTTTGTTTTGTTTGTTTGGCATTTTTGTTTGTTTGGTTTTTGACACAGGGTCTTGCTGCAGCCTATGTTGACCTAGAACTCACAAATTATTCTCCATCAGCCCTCCTGGATGCTTGAATTACTGTGGTGTACCACTGTACACATAATATACTGCATTATTTTATAATATATACTGAATTTTTTTAAATGCTAAAGCTCAATTATCACTAGGTTTATCTTTTCTTTTTAATCTTTTTGAGACACGGTGTCCCTATGCTGTTCACACTGGCCTAGAGCTCACTTTGTAGCCCAGGCTGGCCTGGAACTTGCAACAATCCTCCAGTATGCTGGGATTACAGATGTGCACTACCATGCCCAGCACGGTTTTTCTTTCTTTTTTTTTTTTTTGCCTGGCACTGACCTTTGGGCAAAGAGGTATGATCAAAATATATGATGAATATTGAAATTTCAACAAATTATAGTAAAGGACACACTGTTATTAATCCCCCTCCAAATAATCCCCCTCCTACTTCCAATACATTTATCCCATTGTTCTTGTTGTTCTCTGAAGTACTTTTCTGCGTATTTGGTTGTGCTATCTGGGCTATCCTGGTACCTAAATTGATACACAACATTTATCTTTTTTTTTGTGGAACTGGGAATTGAACTCAGGCCCATGCACTTGACAGTTATTCTACTGAGCTATCTCCCTGGCCCCCACATTTATCATTCCGTCATTTTGACTTTGATGAAGAACAAGGAGTCCCATAGGGCCAGATCCAGTGAGGAAGGTGGATGAGGCTGTGCCCATGTTTTTATGAGCCTGTCTCACCATTGGATGGCACACGGAAGCATTCACCATCCTTGTAAAAATATAAAAACAGACTTCCACAACTGCTTCCACACAGCAGGATATGTATGTTGGAAGCAAAAGGGAGTAGTTTCAGGGGGATTAAAGGCAATGTGTCCTTTACTGTAATATTTCAAAATAATGTAAACCTTCACGGTATATTTTGATCACCCTTTGTACATGCAGAGGTTTTTTTAAAAAATTTAATCTGAGACACAGACTTCTTAAAATTGCCCAGGCTGGCACTGTTGATCCTCCTGCCTCAGCTTCTTGAGTAGCTAGCATTACAAGTAGAGATGTGCACCATTACTACACAATTGTTAGCTTTCTTTATGTCAAACCTGACCTATAAACCTTCAGGCTTGGAAATGACATATCAACAGATGCAGCATAAGAAGTAATGCAATATATTACGGGCATGGTGGTTCACCACAGTAAGCCCGGCATCCAGGAGGCTGGAGGGTAACTGTGAGTTCCAGGTCAACATGGGCTGCAGCCAGGCCCTGTCTCAAAAACCAAGCAAACAAATGAATAAAAAAAACAAGCCAAACAAACAAAACAAAACAAAACCCAGAAAAGATTCAGTATAGCCAAGTGTGCTGGCATATGCCTGTTATCCCAGCTGTTCCAGAGGCTGAGAAAGGAGGATTACAAATTAGAATTTACCCTGGGCAATTTAGCAAGAGCCTGACTTTGAAATTTAAAAACAAAAGGACTGGAGCTGTAGCTCAGTGATCCCTGGGTTTAATCTCCAGAACAACAACAGCAACCCAATGACAAATCAGTATAACAAAGTGAATCTAGTCAGGATCCAATTGAACCAGCATTGTGATTCTCTGGGGAAAATGAAAAATGGAAAAAAAAAAAAAAAGAAAAGAAAATAGCAATAGGCCTAGAGCAAAGGACATGGACCTAAGAACAAATAATTAAACTTAGTGTGAGGGGTAGGGTCTGAAACACTCCCCCCTTGAGACTGGGTCTTTGTATGTGGCTCAGACTGGTCTTCAACTACGTAGTCTAAGTGGTCTTCAATTCTCAATGATCCTCCTGTCTCAGCCTTCCAAGTGCTGGGATTACAGAGTGTACGACCATGCCCAGGGACTACCAACAAGAAATAGAATTCATAGGTGGAGACAACAGCCCAAGAGAGGTTCAAATAAGTGAGGATGTCTACCCAAAGTGGGCAGCCTTGTAGAGGTACACTGAAGGAAAGAGAGGAGACAAAAACAGAAAGTTACATTTGGTATTTTAGAAGACACATGTAGGGATAATCTGGATTTGTAGATAGTAGGAAACTGTAGATAGGATTCCCCTTCACTTCCTCTAGCACAGGGATTAATCCATTAATTCACTTCCTGAAGTGGCATTAACATATCTGTCACTTCAATGTAGGCACATGTCCTGCACATAACACAGCTTAATAAAATCCTAAAATTTATTACACAAATTAGGGTAATTTAATTAAACATATTACCAATCTCATTACAGTGGCTTCTAATTTTCTCCAACCTGGAATTACACTGTGCTCAAAGTTGACCACACCTACAGTAGCTGTTAAGACCTGCAAGTTTCACCAATCAGATTCTTGGTGTTCTGGTACTTTATTATTTGATTTATAATCACGGTCTTTCCCCCTTTTAAACTCCATTTAGCTCACAACTGTTAATTTAATCTTAGTCACTGTACTGCTCTAGCTTTATTTCTCTTCTATCTCTACTTCAAAGAAACAATTCCTACACTTCCAGTAGGTGTCCTTAATTATGGCAGCTTTATTCATTTACTTATTTTTTTGTGGGGCTGGGAATAGAACCAAGGGCCTTATGCATGCTAGCTAGGCATTCTATCACTGAATCACAAGGCTTCCTCAGTTCTAATGTTTAAAATTCAGAATAAAATCTCACTAGATAATCTATTAAATCAAAAGCAGCTTAGCTTGAAAAGTCTACATCAATGTTTATTAGCTAGATATTTTATGAAAGAAATCGGGCAGTACAATTCCTTCTATTTAAGAAATTCTAGGCCTGTGATGTAGCTCAATGGTAGAACAACTGCCTAGCATTTGACAGGCCTTTCAGAAATAAGTAATTTTGGTTCCGCACCACCTCTAAAAGAGGAATTTTAAAAAACCCCAGGCTATCTTTCAGCTCATATTTAGTATAATTTAAATAATAGACTTGGGAGAAAATACCAAGGCGACACAAATAAAATAATGCATTTTACCTGGGAAAGAACACTACATTGGTGTCACTTTGCATACTTAATTTTATTTTTTGCATTAATCTTAAAATATATAATAAGCCATAAGACTTACACAAAAATAAATGTGAAAACGAACTAGTATATAATTATGGTTAAATGCCATTGTGCCTCGGTAATTAACCAAATTTATCTCTACCACATTAATGGCCCACGGAGTGGGGGGGATACACTTTTTTCTTAAACTATCCAAATTGAAGCCAATATATATCTGTGTGTGTGTGTGTGTGTGTGTGTGTGGGCTGTATAGCTAAATAAAGACATGAGAGGTATCTGAGTGCTTCAAACTTGGCATCAGAATATCAATACTGTAAATAGTTCTGATACTTTAGCTAAAGGTTTTTATTTCTAAACGCTACATCATTTTCATCTGGCAACTGTTCCAAATAGATCTTAACCAGCAGTTGAAATATCTGCAGAAGAATCAAGAACCTCGAACGGTGTGCAAACTTGTGTGTACGTGAATTTTCGGGAACAGTGGGAGGAGACATGCCACGGCTATCTTCAAAGCCTCGAGCAAGTCTAATAACCCAAAAATCGGTTATTAAAAAAAAAAACCACAGAAAAAAACCCAACAACCAATCTCTGCATTAGTTTTGCCGCCCGCTAAAACTGACAAAGAGAAAAAAGCGTCCATTTGAACTATGCAACCACGGTCAAACAGGATCCTCGCATCCAGAGACCCAGAGCCTGACCTAAACCATTCCTTCGAAATGCCTTCTGTTTTAGATCGAGGGAAATAGTTCGTCCCACACTCTCAACCCCGGTCTTGCACCGACCCCGGCCATTCCCGACCCTCCTCTGGGGTCACGCAGTTTTGCGCGCGTTACCTGGGCGCTGGCTCGATTAGGGTGGTGGTGTCCAGGTAGTGAATCTTGTAGAACTCTAGCAAGGCCGGCAAATGATCAAATTCCTGGTCTCCGATCTTAAAACGGCGGTTGGGCAGGGAGTTGATGATGTAGTGGGAGACTCGTGAATTCTCTGACACCGACAGCACGTAGTCCCCCGGGCAGGTGGAGGAATCGCGGACCAGGAACATACCATGGCGCTGGCCTTGGAGCCGGGTCTGCGCCTCCTGGCGAGACACCGGCCCCATGTACCAGGCGGAGCGGTCCGAGGAGTCGAACCTGGCGGAGGACATGGTAACGGGTCCGGGCGGTGGCTGCTTTCGCCCGTTCTGGAAGCCTTGGCGGGGTGCTTTGGGGCTGCGATAGGGCCTCTAGGCACACCTCGAGGCGCGCTTAGCGGGATGGACCAACACCTCCCACTGGGCTCCCGGCCTGCAGCATCCTCCGCCGCCGCGCGCCTGCTCAAGGGCTGCCTCTCGGGACAGCCGGCCCAGGAAATGCGGGGCAGAGCCCAAGGGTCTCAGCGGGAGAAGCGAGCTGCAGCAGAGGCCGCCCCGGGGATCTCAGGCTGCCTGGCGTATTGGTGTAGCTCCAGTGACTTCCGGGCTGAAAAATGATGGCTCCTCAGCCCAACGGATCTGCACCGATCCCTCTGTCACACGAAGCTCCAGCCTCCAAGGAGCGTCGTGCCTCCGGGGCGATTTTGCTCAGCCGGTTCCCAATAGCCACAGCAACAAAATGGCGGACGCGGGACAAGCTGCTGGCCACCTCCCCCTCCGCTCAGCGCTTTCGGTCTGCGCACGCGCGAGGCCTCAACTCCCAGCGGCCGCCGGGGTCCTCCCCGTGACGTTAGTTCACGCAGCCAATCAGGAGCGAGATCGTTACGATCTGGGCGTGCGCTGCTCCCCCCCTGCTCCCGCGTTCCGGGAGGAGGCGAGGGAGGCTGTGGTGTTGGGCACTCCCTTCCTGGCCACAGTGCGCCACCGGGGGCGCTGCTGCGGTCAGGTCTTAGCATTGGCAGGAAGGCAGCTGGGGCCGGGATGGGGAGCTTCGTTTTGAAAACCTGATTCTGGAAACAAAGCATGAAGTGTAAAATGAACCGCCGGCCCGGGAGGCGTGGCACTGAGGTGACCTGCTTGGCCGAGAAAGACCGCATGGCGTATAGGCTCCACTGGGCCAAAGTGGCTCAGGACAGGGGTGACCCGGGGGGCTGAGATGATCACCAACGGACCTCTGGATGGCTAGGTAACCCGAGGGCCAGGTGATGACTCGGTTGACCAGAATAAATTGTATAAGGAAGTTTACAGCCTGGAATAATCTGGCCAGTTTGGGTGCTGAATTGCTGCCCTAAAATGCAAACGCTTCTCGCCTCGGGTGTGGCATTTTGCCTGCTCTGGATTTTGCCTGCTTCTTCCACTTAATTTTCTCCATTCTACCTTATTTATTTAGCTAGCCGGAGCCCTCCTTGCATATTTTCTCTTTCCTGCATTCACCTGAATGTGAGTTTTGAAAAAGTGGGATCTTGTCTTGTTATGTTCACCTTTGTCTTATCTGCCTTGTTCAATGTATGTCCCTGAGTGGACGCTCAAATATTTGTTAACTGAAAGATCAAGCCACCGGCACCTTATTTGTTGGTAATAACATACCCCAATTGGATAAGCAAGAAAGCATGTCCCAGAAGTGATAAAGGTGAGGGAAACAAATCATACTTAAATCCCTCTGCCAATAAAATTTCATTTTGACCTTTTGTGTCCTCAGGTTCAGCAAATCCTAGATGGTGAGGTAATAAGTGATCTCTACCCAAGGGCAAGCTAAAGGGATAGATGAATTCTTCATAACCATGTTTTCACCTCAGGTGCAATTTGAATAGCACAGAATTTGAAACACTGTCTGAGTTCAAATCTTGACTTAGTTTTGACTGTCTGGGTAACTGTGGGCTAATTATTCTGTGGCTCATCTTGGGGATACTAATAACATCTACTGTCAAGCAGAAATTAATGTATTAAACAAGCTAATATGTATAAAGTTCTTGGCAGGTGGCTGCCACATGCTAAGCAGTCTTACAAGAGTTTTTCATTATTATTCACTGTCATTTTCAAACTGAGCCTTTAACTTCATAGTGTAAAAGTGTGAATAGATTTATGACTGGGTAAAGATGGAGAGAAAAATTTCCACTTGATTTTCTAGTTTCTTTTCTGCTAGATTTAGCATTTCATCATCTCCTACTCTTGCTGCAGACTTCTTGATCTAGCTTCTACCCTTGCTTTGATTAGGACTAAGATTTTAGTGATCTTCATAGAAATTATCATTTTCCTTCATATACCAGGTATATATGTTAGGAAATCTCCTAAGAAGCCCCCCAACTTTAGCTTCTGTAACACTAATATAGTTTTCTTCTGCCTCTGCAAATATATTTTCCTATTTGCTGTTGCACTTTTGGCTAGTAATTATTATGAACACCTTAAAGGTCACCTCTACTGACTCAAAGCATGTATGTTCCAAAAGTAGAATGAAAACTGATCATACCCAGTGATTGTTAGGGAAACACTCTAGTCACACACTAAATTAATTCTTACCACAATCTGTTATAATTGCCAAATAGTACCTGTTCCATTCTTAACCTGAGCATTTTGGGGAGAGATTGTATTCCTAGTGCCTACCACAATTCCTGGCACATAGTACTTAAATGAATTTTGATGGCTGAAATGAGAAAAATAAAATCTAGTGTATCAAAAGTTAGGTAGTGGGCTGGGGACATAGCTCAGTAGCGTGCCTGGCAAGCACAAGGTCCTGAGTGCAATCCCTGGTATCACAAAAAAAAAAAAAAAGAAAGAAAAAGATAGTTAGGTGATTGTAACTGTTTTCAGTTAGCATAAGTATTTTAAAAAGCTACCTAGGCATGATGGCTTATGCCTGTTATCCTAGCACTGAGGATGGGTGTGAGGCTGAGGCAGGAGTATTGCTATGAGTTGGAGGTCAGTCAGGGCTACAAAGTGAGTTCAAGCTAGTCTGAACTGTATA